TATAAACAGTAATGCCATTTGAATGGAGGAAGGAATAGTATATAGAATACTGTGTATTGCTGCTTTGTTAAACTGCATAAAACCCTGTAACTCATCTCTATTACTAGAATAAGCTCTCACTGCCCTGTATTAATTTCCAGAGGGTCTATAGAAATATTTGCTTCAGAATTCTGAAAGAATTAACATTTTAATGTAAAAGTAAACAAAACCATTTTAGTAGCTGCTAGAGATTTTGCCAAAGTTAAGTATCATTAACGCATAGAAGACGATACAGATCACTTACCACCCACTTGTTCTGCAGGTAATTTATTATTACAGTCTACTGGAGTGGTGGTTGCAGCCTATCCAGAGAAAAGAAACCTTACAACTAGCCTAAGAGAGCCTCAAAATTGGCATTAAACATCATAAATCCTGCTGATTTACTTCAGTGTGTTCAGGTCTCTGAATAATTAAGTAACGGAAGAAAAAGTAGAGAGAAAATGCTTTTGTGGAAAGGAAGAAAAAAAATAAGTTTTTAAGAAAGCAATATATATATATTCATTTTCTTTCATATATGTTTAGTAATAAATATATAGTTACATAATACAATACCAGCATTTTATACACACACAGACATACATATATGCATAACATAGATAACTACTAAAGACGATAACAGATAGTTATAGATAGACAGTACAGATAGATCTGTAGTAACAGATAATTAAAAAATTATCTGTTCACTTACCCACAAACACAAACATCACTCTCAGTGTGACTACTGTTTGCATGCATCGGGTCATTAAAAGACTACAAAAGAGAAAGAAATATGCACAGCATAGGAGAGCATAATAGCGGAAAGATTGATTCTGAGAAGAAGGGTAACTTGGAACTCAATATAGCAGCAATTAAAATAATTTTGGAAGAGAAGATGAAAGCTATATTTATTTAAATGGTATAAATTAAGTAAGAGATTGCAAATCAGTAGTGTGTAAGGATGAAACCTTTTTAACTCGAAAATGTATTTACTACCTGTTTCATTCTGTCTATCCGTAAGTGCTGCATTTATCCCACAAAAAATACATTTCCCTTCCAACTAATACTGTACAAAAGACATGGTGATTTAAAAATAGATTTAAAAAAGGCCAAAATTAAGAAAGAAATAGTTCTAGTGAGATCAAAGATTAGAGAGATTTGCTAAACCAAGTGAGAAGCAGAAATGAAACACTCTTTTATGAGGAAATACCCACAGTATTCTTACTCTTTATGATTTACATAACAAATGCTAAATATTTGAGAGAGAACTCAACCAACTCTCATGGGATTTTTCTGTATTATTCAGCAGGAAGATCTGATCCCCTGATAATTAAAATATGCTATTTTAAAATAGAAGGCATACGTAGCCTAAATATTAAAACATTAGAGCTTAACAGCATTTTGCAAGACTATTTTAACATTGTCAGCTATATCTAACATCTTGGAAAATCCATAATCTAGCTATGAAATAAAAAAATGCAACCCACAGTTATATTTTGTCCTGTGACAGTTGGACTTAGCTGAGTATAAACACTATCTTATTCCTCCAGACATCCACTTGTAACAGCTATTTTAAAATAAAAAATATATAATTCAATTATAGTTTGCTGAAACTTTTTTTTTGCCTCAGCAAATGTCCTCATAGAAGAAAAACTTTTTTAAAAAATCGTGTCCTCAGAGACATTTAATATATCAGTAAATGATGAAAAAAGGCAATATAAAAAAGGAATACTCACAATTTCAGAAAACAAAAAGGCTATATATCTAGAGAGCTCTTTTTCAATATTCAGAATCTTAAAGGTATCAGCAAAATACCACAGTTCACCTCAGATCCTTGTGCCAAGCATTTAGTCTGAAAAGTTTTGTGCAATTACTTTACAGTCAGAAATAGAGACTTTTTAAGTTAGGCAAAATCCAGAACTATTATCTACAAGACAACTGTTGAAACAACTGTCATCTTCTCCAGGTTACTTGACAGGGATTGTTATGAGATAAACATATTCACCGAATTGTGCTAACTGCACGCCTATTAATGACTTTTGCGTACTTTTCAGATATTTCTGAAGTGATTTCTCATGGTGCAGCTATACAAAGTGCTGATTTTGAGCAACTCCTTCCAAACTTCTGAAAAAACTTGCTTTTGGGGTTTTTTGGGGGGTGGTGGTGGTCTTGTTTGGGTTTTTTGTTTTTTTCTTTTTCTTTTTCTTTTTCTTTTTCTTTTTCTTTTTTCTTGTACTGGAAGCCTACATATTAAAGTTTGCCTTGAAATGATTTTCTGCACATACAGACAAAAAACAGTGGTCTGACTACTTTTCTAAAGTGGAAGTAAAGCATTAGAGACTTTAATCTTTCATTACTCATAATAATGCAGTTTTTAAACAATTCTTAGTAAATTTACACTTAACATTACTGCAAGATCAGACCCTTGTAATATCTACTCGTTTCACAGGCTAGTCTCATCAAATCTTTTCATCTTTGAACACAAAATCTCACATGCATAGCACTCTGCATCACTACAAACTTTATAAGTAATAATTCACTTAAAACAAATTCCCAGCACTAAGGATACCAATAAAATCCAGAACTAGAGCATAAAATTGAAAAGACAGTTGCACAATTCTGTGTGTGCTTGCTGCCCTAGCTCACTGCTATACATCTTCACACCAACCTAATTCATTTGACACAGTCTCCCCACAGCTGAGAAAGCCTCGCTTTCTAACTAGTTCTTAGTAAAAGCTTAAATACAACCCCCCCTATGTTTAAGTAAACTTAAAGCTGTGACACAAATCAACAACAGGCAGGAAATTCAAAGAAAGCACTAACAATCCAAGCTTAATTCATGATTGTTTAACAAAAGGGCAAAATGATATGAAGAACTAATGTCAGCTTTAAATTCACTCTGTGTTCTTGGGCAAACAGGTGTTTTTCTCAAAGATCATAACAAATCAGGCTCTCCTGTCAGTCTAGGTAAATTCTAGTGATTATTCAGCATTTAAAAATGTGCTGGATGTAAAGAAATTTTTAAACTAATTTTCAGCATACTAACATGTTATATTGTAACATACCTCATGAACTAATGACAAACCTAAATAGGTTAAATTAAGATATTCTATAAATTTTTCAGAAGTGATCAAAATACACTTTTTTGTATACACAAAAATAAAAAATTAACTATTTTGTAAAGTAACATGAAACAGAGCAATATATTATTTTCTTTTTCACAAGTTAGCATCTCTTAGTATATACTTGTACTTCAATTCCTCTTTGAATCCGTATAACATAATAAAACTTTTTTCTGGGCAGCAGAATCTTCGAGAAAGGAATACTGCCTACTAGGATGCAGGGTTTTTTAATTAATCTTTTAGGCTTCAAATTAAAATTTAGTATTTAGTGTGTTTTAAAAATACTAATTGCATATAAGCATGTCTGTCTGGTAGCTTTGCATACTGTTTTATTGTAGAAATCAGGAAACAGAATGAAATGAATAAACTGACAAAGTTCACACTTCATAGACATACATGAAATTATCCCACACATACATATCTATTGCATGAATTCCAGGGCAATAATAACAGGGTTTACTGTAATAATTTTCTTTATTTACTGCAATTATTGTTATTATTGTTATTATTTTTGCTTAATTAATGTCTCAAATGATTACAAATTTTGTTGGAAATTAACAATATTACTAATCTTTTTCCAGTTGAATTGCCAAGCAATTATGATGTTGTCCTAGAAGTCAAAACTGCACTAACTGCTGTAGCATCAATAATTTTTGTGGAGGAGTTTCAAAGAAGTCTTTAGAAATCCTGCATCTGTACTGCATGTCTGCATCTGTACTCCATCAAGCTGCAAGAAATCTGGTTACCAGCTCTAGATACGTTTTAAAAACCCAGTGAAAAAAACGTGGACAGTTACAATTTAAAATTAGTGTTAAGATTTTAATTTCCAAAGCAAGGACAATTATGTGTTTCACCCTCAGGATTACCAAACAAAAAGCACAGTTGCATATGTCTGTATGCTCCCACCAAGTCATGGCCTCAGAGAGCTTTGGAAACTAGTTAGTTACTTCTTGGTGGAGCCTGAGCAACTATCAATGCAAAGTTTTAAGTCTTCATAAGACCACGGAAGACCACCTGAATGAACCCACAAGAAGTCATGTACATGCTCCTCAGCTGATTTCCTCTATATGTCACAAATACAAAGGTCTGGAGGACATGAGTGCTTGAAAAGCACCCGAGGAAGAGAATGGCTCTTCTCTTCCCTTTGTAGAAGAGAGGCAGCTGCTTTGTTATAGGAAGTTCAAGAACAAATTGATCTTACAGCACTGTTAAGGAGCTCACTTCTTTAACTTAACAGCATCACAAACAAATGTGGGAAAGTCTGGTACTGAAGTACCAGGAAATGAAAAAGGTAAAAAGGAAAAGGGTGAAAACTGCCTCCATCCTGCCACATTCTTGTTAGACTCATTAATATTCACTTGCTATCACATTTTTAATCTAAGGCAAAGTTTTTACTTCCTTAACAAAGCATAAATTATGCTTATAAATTCTACTTTACTACAGTTTATTTTGCATTTTCAGTTCAGATGTTACAAGCAGGTGAATACATTTGTCAATCAATCCACACTCAGAGTTGCTTACTTATGCTTTTACAGTATCTAGAAATGCACATGTATTTTTGGATTTTCTCTCAAAAGCTTTCCTGGTCTCCAGGACAATTCAAAGGGCACTCTACCTAGTCTGCCCTGTAACTGCCAACTCTATAAGGAACACTTTGCAGCACATATGTACACTGACTTTCATACTTCTAACCACAGATATTTTTAAGCACGTCAAACACTTTTTGTACATTTCTTATTTTTATGGTAAAGGTTCTGAAAATTTTTATGTATAAATTTTCAACATTTTCCAACAAATAAGAGACCTGTGTGTAGCTAGTAGAGCTCAATCTTCAAAAAACAGAGTTAAAGGTGTATTACATACCATAGTCAGTGATCTTACAGGACACTAAATACAGCTCTTTCAGGTTCCGGCCTTCTTTGGCAATCACCTCCACACATCTGGAAGACACATACAGTAAAATCACAGTTATAAGACAATAGAACATTTTTAAATAGCAACAGCGCAATCCACAAGTGTAATGTACTGTATATAAATTTCTTCATTTTCTGAATTGTTACATTCAATTCACTGAAAATGCATATGGCTACAGGTACATACTGGAGAAAAATATTATTTTACATTGAATGCTTTTATATCAATATTCCTATAAGTCTTTGAAATATACACGGACAAATCCTTTGGAAAATAATACAAATGTGAACTTTTATTTCTTCATTACTGTGTAACTTTGGAAAGTTTCTATTACAAGATTTTAGCTTGGAGAGTTTTCTTCTAGGGAAGAACTACAAATGCACTGTAATAAGGACAAAAGATAAGAAAATGCGATTTTAAATTCATGTTAGTATTTCTTCAGTGATTATTGCAGGAATGAGCATTCATCAGGTCACAAAATGCTACATGCCATTGGTGTTCCAAAATGTTGCTAGAGAAGCTTGTACAGATGAGGAGACAGATCATTCACTTGCCTTCTCTCAACTATGATGAGTTTGCAATGAAACTCCTAAGGTTTTTTTCTGTTAATCTCCTTGTTCAATTTCTTGTAAGCAAGAAAATCAGTATGAAAACTAAAATTGTCTTGTAAAATAAGAGCTTATATACTTGCAACCAATTCTATACTAATGTTACGTTTACAACTGAATTGTTTATAGTGTAATACTCAAAAATATAGTTAATAAATTATGGTTTTAGTCCCTATTGTCTACATAAAGACATTTTTAAAAGTATATTTTATAGGATAAATCATAAGAATTTCTTCTGATCCAATACATTCCTCTTTAATTTTCAGATCAATTACCCAATCATCTACCCTGTCTCTTAAATCAACCATCCTAGAATACACAAAATTAAATTACTTGCTGATTTTGAAAAAAATAGGTATTGCTAAATTTGTCATAACTTTTGGAAAATACACTGACACCCTCAGGGACCTTTTTCCTCCCCTTACCACCACCAATAGATTATCTCCCAATCTGATTTAACCTTTCAGGCTGCCAATTTTAGATTTTAAAAGCAACCACCTAATTCTTACAGCTTACAGTAACACAATAGCTGAATGATAGCCCTTCATATCTATTTGTCCCCTCTCTGCTTCCTTCTTTTAAAATCTGGAACAAAAATTCACTACTACTAATAAACCAGTGTGCTTCTGACAGGGTAACGTAATCATAGTTCCTTTACCACTATCATAAATTTTCAACATTTGAAAACTGTGAGAGCCTAGTATTTTGAAAATTTTTGCAATGTTTGTCATTGGGAAAAGATTGCTCTACTTCATGAATACACAAAGAAAGAAGAGAGATACTTAACTTGGTAACCCCTGACATAGAAGAAAAACAGAGTGAACCTCCAGATTCGGTATTTGTTTAAACTTATAATTTATCTGCTAAGAAGATTAGCAAACATGGCAGTTATTTTTCTTTTAGAAGCTACACCAGGACTATGCTTTTAAATATAGACTAATCTCAGAATTATACATTTTCATCACATTATTTTCCTAAAAATCAGACAAGATATAGAGCATTAAACACATTCTACATACATGAAAAAATTCTGTTCCCGTAAGACATGATTTTGAACAAGATACTTATTTTTGTTAACTGGCTTATTGAGATAACTAGGCTCTGAGAAAGATGTTTTATTATTATTATTCATTCCTAGTAATGAGAATTTATTGTTTATATTAGTAATATGATTAAATAGAAAATAATTATCCTGTATTTTATTAGTTAGTATGTTCATTAGAGATTTCAACAAATAAGATGTAATTGAAAAGTGAATGGACATTACAGTTAAAAGAAACTTTCAGTAATTCTTACTGCATATATCATTTAGCAGTGTACTGAGATTATGAAACGCTTCTTAACTTGGATAAAAACTTGGAACCTATAAAAATATTTTGAATATTTTATCTAATGACTAGGAGTTTTTAAATTATTTCTGATAATTTTTCTTTACAGAGAGACAATGAATTGATCAAAAATACAATATAATAATCAGCATCTAAAAATACCACAAGACAGTCAAGATGACATAAAGGACTACCAAATTTTCCCTATGGCTTCAGTTACACAAATTTTCAATCAATCAAGGTCAAATTTGTATTATCTGCACATAAACGTATCTGCATGTGCATCCTTCAGCATCATTGCATACTTCAACCTCAGGATGCTGGCCATTCTCTGGCTTCAAATAAAATCAGTTCAACTGTGAAGAAAGGAAGTTGCTTCTGTCCCCGCTCCCATAAAGAGTGCCATTACATATTACAAACTTGTCATAACAAATAAAGAGTGCTAGAAATGCAGTGTTTGAGAATAAATTTTAGACACAGTAGATCACTCAAATCCAGCAGCAAAGGACAAAAGTACTAGCCTGTGGCCTTTATAATTACATGCTTTATTCCTTCAAGATAGTGCTGGCTCTAAGGGTTACAGTTTTTTCAAGTAGCTTGAGTGACTCCCATCCTGTTCTTAGTGACGTCTTGGAGTCTAAATGAAATACTGTTCACAGTCTTTAGCTATTTCAATTAAACAGAAAAATGCAAAAAAAATGTAGCTCTGAATGCCTCATTTCTTTTTGTTTTTGAATATAATAAAGTCACCTAACATCTAAAAGAATGAGGTAATGACACAGCCAGTTTGGAGAAGAAAAAATTAAATATAGCTGAAATACTGAATTTATAATTTTTTTTACAAATTCAGTCTGCCCTCTATAATTTGCATAAATCAATCTAATTTCAGTTTTAATTTCTATTATCCTTTCTATAGATCATGCCCATGTAAATCAACTTGTAGTGATAGAAGAAACATGTTAGTCTCTGAGAGGCCTCATTAGCCTCTGCTCTGTAGAACGCCAGTCACACAATACATACTTGTCAGTAACAACTGATCTCTTTACAACATCAGGAAAAATAAGAGTAGTTGTGTATTTATTACTTTTACCTTTTAATCTTTGTTAAATATGACAGCAAAGAAAAAGGTTAAAAGAATAAAATGAAATTAACCTTTTCTAGAAAACAAGGATCAAGTCACGTTAATTCTGTTGTAATAATCCATCAAAATTATATGATTGTCATATCTATCTTTGGAAGCCTTCATATATACAACATTACTGAAGTAGACAACAAAGAAGCTTAACTTTAAACACATCAGGATAAGACTGGTAAATATGAGAAACAAAGTTATTACTTAAAGCAGACAGAAATGAGTAAAACAGATAATTAAGCCCGAAAAAATTGGGATGAAACCCTGTCTGTCAGGGAGCTAACACGATGCCTCTTGGACATGGTAACAACAGTTGTGTGCCAAGACAAAGAGGAGATATTTTTAAATCTCTCAACCCAAGGTTACTGAACAGGCTTTTATCAGCTCATCCTACTAATTTAAATAGCAAAAAGACATGCAATGACCAGATGAAGTAGTGAAAGTTACTGGGACACAGATATTTCTTTTACATTTTTCCTCCAAATGTATTAAAATATAAACTCTCTTCCAACAAGAAAAGCGATTTTCAAACTCAAAATAAGTAATTACCAAAAATGAGACAAGGGTTCATTAGCCAAGGAATAAAGAAACAAGACTATAATTAGAGCTTTGATAATATACAAGTCCAGATCAGAGCTGGCCAAAGCTAAAATCTCTTCACCTGTTACTTTGTAAAGTATTATTTAGAACCATGTAGGATATGAAAATATCAAAACATAAAACATGAAATACTTACTTTAGGAAGAAACTGCTTAGTCATTAAACCTGAAAATACTATCTAAAAAATTATTATGCCAAGCTTTCCCTAGATCTAGTCAATATTTTATGAATGCTATTCTCTGATAGACTGATGTGCAATTCAGTTTTATTGCATTTGAATCTGAAAGTATTACATTAATATCACACACTATGGAATTTACAGTGCAATCAGGAGCAAGAAAAAGGCAAAGAGCAGAAATTGATTTCACATAAACAAGCCAATCAATGTACCAGAAACCAAGAATATAACTAAAAATATACCTAGCTATTAATATAAAATAGAGTTACAAGACCACATATGTTTGTAAGACAACTCAAGCCTGCTCAGTGCTGTGATGTTTAATACATCAACATTCCAACACCCCAAAGCTGATTATGTTCAGGGACTAACAAAACTAAGATTGTGTCTTACTATTGTAATTTCTAAAAATGACTTCTTACTTTAAAAGCTAAACAAATCTCAAGAAGAAAAGGATATAACTATAATGATGCTAAAATTCCAGCAATTAATATCAGGTAAAAACTCTCAATCTGGGTTACAGAAACTATGGAAATTTGTCTATTAATATGTACTTGCATATGCTACTCTTCCCATATGGTCTGTATACATGATCAGGAAAACTACTGTGTACAAAGATTTACCAGTATAAACCTTCTGTGCAAACATGTCTCTTCTTCAGAAGTAACAAAACTGCATGATCAAGCCATAGATATGTCTACTGATAACATTAAATTTAGGCCTATCATCTTGACAGCTCCCACTTATAAATCTGTGCAATAAATTCACAAAGTCAAGGTTTCTGACTTCGTATGATGTAATAGAAAATATAAGAGTTTAAAAATAATAATGAAAAAAAGACAAACTAAAAAAATAAGTCATTCAAAACCTTGCAGTTTTCTAGTCTTAGCCAACTGATGCCTACATTCTTTGACGTAAATAAAAGCTTAAGGTTAATGAATTAAACTGTGCAAGCTTTTACCTGTAAGATACAAAAGATCCTTGAGTAATGGAAAATAGTTGTCTTTTCCATGTACATACACAGCATTTATGTTTTCAGTCTAATTCTAAAAACACTGGAAAATCATATTTGTGACAACCAAAAGGAACTAATGAGAAAATATGACTACAGTATTTGTGGTATAAGTGGTCCTGGGAGACCTTGTTACAGTCTGAGATGCTCTTCAGCCCCAAGTAAAGC